TTTTTTTGCGAAAAATTCACTGAACTTTGGAGACATCATTAATATAAATATAATTTTTATGGTCGTTAAATAATAAATGGTTTTCAGTAGGACTGCTGCTTGTTTAAACTCAACGGTTTGTGCAATATTCACTATTGGTCTAGATTCAACCAATCCTGTCGCAACATGAGTCAGCGATGATGTTTTACTTTGGAGACATCATTAATATAAATATAATTTTTATGGACGTTAAATAATAAATGGTTTTAGTAGGTCCACTGCTTGTTTAAACTCAGCGGTTTGTGCAATATTCACTATTGGTCTAGATTTAACCAATTTTGTCGCGACACGAGTTGGCGATGACGTTTTACCGAATTATAGGAGTTTTTTTAGCGTGTTGGAATATTGTCGCAATTTTTTTGCCATGATATAGGAATCCAAACTATAGTAACCAGTGTTATAGGGGGTCGACTGTACACTATAAATTTTTAAAATATTGAATAACAAAGTAATTATTTGAATATTACTTTTCAGGAATTATATCAAATAGATGCATCTATATATGCGGAAGAACCAAAGAGAGATATACATAGTTTTATTGGAAAATTTACACGTGTAAGAATCTTTTAAATTCTATACCATTGTTAATTATTATTTTAATATTTTCTAATATAATATTTAATAGCATGATGGAGAGGGAGCTGAAGATTCTCTTGGAATAGAAAATACTGTCTGGGCAAATACTGTCATTGCATCGGGAACTGCTGTCGGAATTGTGATATATACAGGACGAGAAACAAGAAGTGTTATGAATAATTCTGAACCAAGAAGCAAAGTAAGTAATTATAAATTAAATAAAAGTTTTATGGAAATATTATTTAATTAAAAGTTTATAATTTACATTGAATTAGGAAAAAAAATAATGTTTTAATAACAACAAATTTTGTTGGATATAAACATTATTTTTGTTTTATCAACAGTCAAATTATTTTTATTGTTATTTTAATTTGCAAACATTTTTGTTACTGATAGTTAAATAGAACAAACAGATTTATTTTAGTTTAATATTTCTGTACAAATATAAGACAAATACTTTTGCTTATTATATACAGTAGAACCTCCATTATCCGGACCTCTATTATCCGGATTTTCGATTATCCGGATTGTTCAAAATAAACAAAAATTGTACGAATTTGCTGATTCGCACTTGGCGAATTACGACACTGTTTATGTACGTGATGGAATGCATAACTTTTTTTGTTTCAACAACGTCTCACCCAGCACAGAGGTCGTAAACACTTAAATATATTTTACGTAGTAATAAAAATATAACTTGACATACGTATTTATAAATAATTTATATTCAAATTACATCATTTCTATGACCAAGGGTAACGTAAGGCATGGACGACGTGGGCCACCGCCTATGCCTCGCGGTCTGAAGGGCCTCGCGCTTCGAAGGTTTACGCATTACTTAAAAGCCACAAACGCGACGAAAAAATTTCACTCGTCATAAAACGATAAATAAGTTTGTCAAATTTTTTTTTCATAAAAATGCAGTTTTAACTGCTTTTTATTTATAAAATCCGTCTTCTTGCGCCACCAGAGGGCCTTTTAAACAATAGGTAGTTTGTTAGCGTTGGTCAGTAGTAGTCCAAATTCAATACGAATGTTTGTTTCTTGAAAATTTGATCACGATTTAAATACAGTATTCACTTTTAATATTACCGACATGTCATCGAAAAGAAAACGTGTTATATTATCATTAAAAGACAAATTAAAGTATTTATTTCGATTATCCGGATTTTTCCTTATCCGGATTACCTTCATCCCCAATTAGTCCGGATAATCGAGGTTTTACTGTATTACACTTATGTTAATTGTAGAAAATTTTTGACCTAGAATGAAAAGTGACTTGTTATGCAGCATCAAGTACTGAAAAGCTGCATCAAAGCTTTTAAAATTAGAGTTTAATTATAGTGATAGCCAGAATATCAAGAAAAGGGTGTTCTACTAGTTCACGGGTTCCCAACCTATGGGTCACGACCCAGAAGGGGGTTGCGACGGGCTGTGTGTGGGGTCGCCAACTTATACAGTTAACTAAAAAAAAATGTTCACTATAATGCAATTTTTATATTTAATGGTGTCTTGAACTTTGAATAATTTGATATACAGTTGACCCTCCTATAACACGGGTTCGGATTCCTATATGACGGCAAAAAAATTGCGATGGTATCCATACAAACATGGTAAAAAAACTCCTATAATTTGGTAAAATGGCATCGAGCAGCCGAACTACTTTTTGCCGTCCAGCGCCACGCTTCGGAGAGTTTAGGTGGGTAAATTGAGTTTACTGTCGTCTGTACAGTATTATATATAAATTATATATAAATTAGGTACTGTATATATAATTATATATTAACTTAATTTATTGTAATTTTATTATAATTATATATATACTTTCCACCGTCCAGCGCCACGCTACGGAGAGTTTAGGCGAGTAAGTTGAGTTTACTATCGTCTGTACAGTATGTAAATTAGGTACCGCAAGTCTAATACAGCACTAATTATATACATTTCTTGTGAAAGAAACATTTCTTATTCAATGGCCATAAAAATTATTTATATTAATGATGTCTCCAAAGTTCAACAAAGTTTTTGCAGAAAAATAACTTATCAGAAATCGCAGCCGCCATTTGGTGCGCTGCTCCACGACGAAAACAAGCTTAAGCAATGGCAACATCGAACGGTGCACATTTGGTAAGTAATCCTACAATTTTTTGTTTATAGCATAGTTTATACGGATTATTCCCAAAAAAGAATACGTATTTTGGAAATGTTGAGTCGAATTAGTCTAGGAATCGATTAATTTTATAGAAGAAAACCTTTCAAACAGCCGTAGTCCGTAAACTTCAGACATGTCAGGCTGTGATTGGCAAGGTCTCCTAAAACATCAATTTCATAAAAAACGGAATATATCTACCGTGTTATAGGGGGGTCGACTGTATTTTTAAAAATTAAAATAAGTGTAATCTAGGTACGCTATTCCGTCACAGTTGGTTGAATCATGTGTTGAGAGTTCGAGAGGAATAAATTAAATGTTGAGAATGACATGAGGTTGGCATTAACAAAAACTCACTCGCGAATTTTAAGGCTGGTTAATAACATACAATTTCAACAATCGCATTAAATTATTAGACATAATTTAAAATAAAATGATACTAAAAAACTAATTTCGTTGTTTAATTACCTTATTAAAAATGTCTTTTTCAATAGTATCGGGGTAGCGGGTCACTTGGCTTTTATAAAAAGGGGTCGCCACCTGAAAAAGGTTGGGAACCGTTGTACTAGTTACAACATGCTCGCTGTTGTTATATCTGTTTTTGTTTTTTTTTTTAAATTAAGAAAGCTTTATGTTGATTAAATCTCATAAAATAGAAAAATTGGTTTATGGAAGCATAAAATATATGGGCTTTTGCTCATCATCAAGAAGCATTTTTGACAATAGATAAAAGTCCAAAAATGCTTGAATTTTGGATTACAGTAGAGCGTCATTTATCTGAAAGTTGGTTATCCGAAAGAATTCCAGTTGGCAAATTTAAATTTTTGCTAGTGCTGTGGCACTGCAATCTTTGACTATATCTTGGGCTACTCCAAGATTTTTTTTCTTGGTGTCTGTGTTTTAGCTGGTAGCACTAGCACTTTTGTGTGGTGTTTTTCTGAGGTCTGAATCGAATGTTTTTGATACTAGATCAACTTCTAAAGTATATTTTTTTGGTTTTTATATTTTTCAATATATTTATTTTGTTTGTACAAAATAAAGAAATAATTTTTAACGGTACAATAGCCACGATTATTATTTTAAAAAGTTTACATTAGGCTTAACATCGACAAAAATTCAACGCAAAGCGACACGCAACGGAGAAAAATTTCAACACTGGATAGGTTAATATATTTTTTCGTACATAATCGGTTATCTGAAAAATAAGTTATCCGAACAACCCCAGTCCCCAATTGATTCAGATAAATGACGCTCTACTGTATTTCTAAGTTTTAAGCTCCAGTTAAGTCATTTCTTTATTATATTTTTACTCTCATGGAGTCTTTCGTACAAATCTCATAATTATATTATCATACTTAAATATAATAAATTAATTTAAAAAATTACTTTTGTTAAAGTATATATTAAAGTATTTATTCTCTCTCATAAATATTTACATGTAAATTTACTCTTCTTATAGGTAGGATTACTTGATATGGAAATAAATCAGCTAACAAAAGTTCTGTTTGCTGCAGTAATTGGACTTTCTATCGTAATGATGATATTAAAGGTACAAATGATTTATTACAAAGTGTAATAAAATTTATTAAATGAAATATATCTATATCTAATTTGATATACAGTGGAATACCATTTATCCAGCTTAAACGGGACCGAGCCCAATCAAGATGACTGAAAATCCAGATAATTCAGAAAATTTGTTAACAACATAAATAATACAATTTATATACATTTTATTATATATTTCTAATTTCTTCTCCATTGTAACAGCAACTTTCTTTTTCTATACATTATTTTTATAGTGTTTACTTTATTTCACAAAAGATTTAAAGTGATTGAAACTCAGCAAAACAATAGTAGCTTCAGGTGTTGAGTGAACAACTCAAAAGGTTATAAGCAATAAATTTTATTAACACAGTGACTGCTGTGAGAAGTGCAACATTTTTATTAAACAGGAAGTTTTATAATTGAAAATTGTAAAGATTAGAAAAGATTCAATAAGCTCTTCAGTAAACTTAAAGAATCCTCTCATGTGTATAACAATGAACAGCATATATCAGTTCATAGAAAACAAGTCTATTCTGGCAAGGTGCAATGTTACATTCAGGGAAGGATATACGTAGGAGTTCTTTAATTTTTTTACATTTATAGATTTTCTGTATGTCTATCTTTTATACTTCTGAAACAGGGATTGTTTTATAATCTGGATTAATGGAATCCAGATAAATGAGAGTTCCACTGTATTATGATGTCTAAATGTAATATCAAACAATTTTAGGAAACTTTAAAAAAAAATTCAGAATTTCAATGAAAATAAAACTTTTTAGCATACTTTTTTGCAAATATGTTAAGAAATTTATCAGTAGCAGGGCTTAAAGTGACTCACTTTTTTAGCTTTTTTTCATAGCTCTTCTCTTTTTTAGTTTTTTCTGAGGCAAACTTACTTTTTCAGCTTTTTTCACTTCCCATGTGGAATTTATTTATTTTTGTAAATGCATTCAGGAGCAAAATAGTGACCAGTACACCACCATACTGCAATTCTCCAACATTCAAGCTGCAAGAAACATATAAATAAATGCAATGAAGCCTTTGGTCCCAAGCAGTTAAGACTGATGACTGCCCCTCAGATGTCCCAATGTCAAAGTATTAATGCCGAAACTGTTGCTAGTGTGAGCAATGTTGTAGACTCAGGTGCCAGTTCAGAACACCAATTATTGCAACAACTGGTGCTTCAACTTTGTAGTGCAAAAGATGGTGCTTACATTGCAGAGCTTATATGGACTATGAAAATAACAGCCAGCAATTATTCATTTGCATCATGTCATGATATAAAGGAGACAATCAATGCCAAGTGTGCAGACAATCTTCCGAAAGAATTCTCATTGTCCCATCAAAAAATGAGATACTTAATCACTGAAGCTTTGGTCCCATATTTCTTTGATCAAATGGTAGATGATGCACAATGGTCATATTATAGCATTTCTTATGGTGAGACATGCAATGTAGAAGACAGAAAATAACTGCAAATACTGATTAGATATTGGTCAGAGGAACAACAGGAAGTTGTCTGCAGGCATCTCCAGACCTCATTTATCGGGCATGCAGATGCCGAAACAATTAAATCAAAAATAATACTGGCAATCGAAGATGAATATCTACCTTTTGATAAATTACTGATGATTGGATGCAATGGACCAAACGTAAACAAAAAAGTATTGCATCTCATAAATGAGGAAATTCTGACAACTCACAAAAAAGGCTTCATTAACATAGAGACTTGCAGCATTCATACAATCCACAATGCCTTTTTGAAAGGTCTGAAAGAGTTGGGCAGATATGGTGGTGATCTCATCATAGCAACACAGCTTTTTTGATGGGTGGCTCTTTAGGTGGGATGAATACACAGAAATTCAAGAGAAACTTAATTTGCCATGCAACAAATTTATGAAGTATTCATCAACTAGATGACTGACGTTTGGTCCTGCAGCAAAATAACTGATCGAACAATGGGAAAGACTCATATTATACTTCTTAAAGCATATTCCTCAAGAATTCCAGCTTAATGAATAGTGTTTCATATAAGATAATCTTGAAGTCATTGAGCTGTTCTACCATCAAAGCTGAACTCTATTTGGGAATATCTAGTGCTGAACTATTCACAAAGTTTACTGAGCATTTTCAGTGCAATGATCCTTTAATACATAAACTTTATAGTAAATTGCTTACTCTGGTGTGAAGAAAATTCAGTGTGATGAGGAGGAGAAAACAAGAGAAGTGCAGAAACTGCATCATGACTTAAACAAAAGAAAATCATCTTTAATTACAAATTTTTTAAACAAGAAATCAAAAAATGTACAGTACCTTGAAATAAATGACATTTGAAATTTGACATGTTATATGGAGATATATTCTGGGCCCTTAGTCTTGAGTTTTTTGTGTTACAACTCCCAACGTGTTGAAGGTGTCACATGGTACCATCTTACACTCTGACGTCAAATTGGTAGTCTCAAGTTATAACTCACGTGCTTTCCCATCTCACTATGTGAGTTGCTACTCACATTGAGTTGAGCATGTGAGATCACTACATGAAAGTGAAAATGGCTGATAGTTACACTATACTGATCGTAATTGAAGCATTAGAAGGAGCCAAAAGTGTTGTTTAAGGCAACAAATTTTTCGACCATGAGTAGATGCTATTTCTTTTCGTGTCAAGTCAACACTAATAAAAACATTTTAATTCGGAATTAATAAAATTATACATCAAATTTTTTCCAAAAATAAAAAGAAGTATCTAATTCATCGAAAAAGAGAATTAAAATGATAGTATATTATATGTATAAATTATTAAGAGCAAAGACACTATATTAAGATTATTTATTAATCAGAAGTGTTACGTTCTTATTAATAAATAATCTTAATAAACAAAACAATTTAAGAAATAGATCAAGGCAGAAAACTATATGAAAAAAGGATTAAATTAAAATACTTTTTCCATTACACAACAAATTTTTTGCTCCAATACACAATTAATTTTTCAAGTAATTCTCTCCTCAAATCGAGTTGTCTTTTTCTTGTAAATTTGTTGTCGAATTTTCCACTGTTCATTTTCTCATTATTTTCTATATATGTTACTAAAATTTCTTTTTGTTCTTCGCTTCTTTTTTAAAATAAAATATTGGAGGTTTCCAGTTTGTTTTTGCATACTATATTGCTATAAGACAAAACTTTTAACTATAACACGTGTAAAGTAATTCACATTGATTTGTTTACAACTTGTTACAGTGAAGTTGATTGGTTGAATCATTATAGTTGCAAACCCAGATGCATTGTAAATAATCCCATCATGCTTATCGACACATGTAAACAAGTGAATATGACATAGTAACATGAATATGAACATAGTAACATGAGTGAGTTCAATGATGTCAATTTGAGTACAACACGAAAAACTTGAGACTAAGGGCCCTGGTAGTTATGTTACTCTTCCATTTCCTTTGCTGTATAATGGTAGGAACTCCGTGTGGGGCACATGAAAACTTAATGCAGGCTCATTCTGGCTTAATGCAGTCTTACTGGTCACTTTTCTGGAGTATAAACTCAGCCTAACTGTTTTCATATTTAATTTTTTCAGTCCAATCAAAAATCAACCTAATATCATATGCAATGTTATTGATACAAAATGTGTGTATGTTTGTGTAAAGTGAACTAAAAGAGGCATTTTTTAATAATGCTTTTTCTAGTTCACTTTAACACTATTAGCTTTTTTAGCTTTTTTTCAGTGTGAATTCTCTTTTTTTACTGCCATGACTGCTTTAAGCCCTGCAGTAGTTTGTTTATAGTTATTAAAATATCAATATTCAATCACACATAACCTTGAATAGCAGCAAAAAGGTTTAATTAACTGGAAAAACCAATGTTTTCGGTCATTTTTAATGATCTTTTTTAGGTTGCTGTTTCAAAAATTAAATCAATTTTCAGTTGAATAAATCTTTTTGCTACTGTTCAAGGTTTGTGTGTGATTGAGTATATGTTATAACAGTTGTGTTTTTTGGAAAAACAGTATCATTGTATTTGTAATAAAAAAAATATACAAAATTTCAAATATTTTTGTTTGTTGATTAATCTTCAGAGATTATATTAATAAATAAACACACCTGATTTGTATTTGCCAAGTTAATTTTCTTTATTCTAACGTTTTCAGCCTATTTGTATAGGCCATCTTCAGGCTTTAACGTTGTTCGTTCCAATGGAACCAATAGTTCGAAATTCATTTGAATTTGAACTTTTAACAACTTATGTGTATAAATAAATAGTTAACAATAATATCAAAAACGTGTTGCAACTTAACAATAACATGAAAAACGTAAATTAAAATAAATATATGATAAAATATAATCTAAAATTGTGTTGCAACTTAACAATAAAAAACAAAAAATATAAAACAAAAAAACAAAAAAATTATATCATCTTTAACTGAGTCTGAACTACTAATTCCTAAAAACACCAGATCATACAAATGTTTATGGATTATTAAAACCCATACTTTTTTCAATTTTATATTTCCAAGCCGTTGGTAATTCTTTTGCATCTTTTGCATTTAGGCATCTGTCCCTCATCTTACTTTTGTAAATCTCTATTTTTTCCATTTCCATTGCGATGGAAGGTGAGTGCCCCGTTTTAACCATCTTGGCTTCATCCCATTTGATTACTGCTCCGTCTGACTGTGCCATACTTGCTAAAATTGAACTATCACAACAAATTATGAAATATTTGGTGGGCCACGACTATAAAAAGGTTAAGAACCATTGATTTAAAGCATATACCTTCAAATGGAATAAATATGTCGTAAATTAATTGTTTTAAATTTTATTGTGAATGTGATTTTATATTTATTTATTTTCATTTACAGGCCGGTATCTGGGAAGGACAATGTAATTAAAAACTGTTTATAGGTAATTACATTTTGTAATGAATTTACTGGAAAATAAATTTGGTTAAAATACTCTTTATGTTGTCTTTCATTTAGTAATCACTATTCTACTATGCTGANTTGTTTTTTGTTTTTTATTGTTAAGTTGCAACACAATTTTAGATTATATTTTATCATATATTTATTTTAATTTACGTTTTTCATGTTATTGTTAAGTTGCAACATGTTTTTGATACTATTGTTAACTATTTATTTATACACATAAGTTGTTAAAAGTTCAAATTCAAATGAATTTCAAACTATTGGTTCCATTGGAACGAAGCCATTGGCCTATTGTATAGGCCATCCTGAAGATGGCCTATACAAATAGGCTGAAAACATTAGAATAAAGAAAATGAACTCAGCAATCAGGTGTGTTTATTTATTAATGTAATAGCTAATATTGCTGAGAAGATAGTTAGATAATCTTCAGAGATTTACAATGCTAAAGCAACTAAATTTTAATTGATACTTAATTGCAAGTTCTTTGTATTAAAGAATTTCATGTACAGATATTTAAGTTTGTGATCATTCCTATTTAACAATACTGTTGTATTAAATCAAAGAGAAATTTTATCTTACCTATTTTAGATCTGAATTATTAAACTAAGATTTGGAGTAAAAAAAAATTTTGTATTTCTTTTAATAATATGTTTGATAACATAATAAATGCTTGGTCTTGTAAGTTGTTAAAACATTTAATTTGTCATCTAATTCATGGGTGGCCAACTTTTGTGTACATAAGATCTACTTTTTATCTTAAAAATGTGTCGCAATCGACTTGTTGTTGTAGGCATAATCTAAGTGGCGAGGGGGAGGTGTGAAATATGTACTATGTTTAGATAGGTAAGAAAAGTCACAATTTTATTTAAAACATGAAGAAAAGGTACTTACATTTTAAACAGAAGGAAAATTGAAACTCAACATTGTCACTTTCGGGGACCACCACTTCATCCTTCCTCTCTCTACTGTGTCCCGACCTACTCTCTCTGTTCCTCTTTCCACCTTTCTTTTTTTGGTTTTATGATCCTTGGTCTACATTTCTTATTCCCTTTTACAACTGTACGCAAATGGATTGCACATGGACTGACAAAACTGCATCTAAGGGAGGACGCGGAGGTCCAATACTGCGTTCAGTTACAAGTATAACACATTAAGTCAAGACATTGCGAGCAATCAACCAAAATTGGCTTTGTGATTGACCAGTTGATCACAATTGACTTGTTCACCGTCCTGATCTAATTGATCTCTTGTATCTAAGACAAAGCATATTTTATCTTAACTGGAATTTGAATTAATTTTTAGAGTGGATATTTGATTTGCATATTAAAATTAAGAGTTTAAGAATAACAATTATTTTATTTTAAGGTGCGTTAATTTTAATTTGGAATTTTATTTCCTTAGTTTCATATATTTAGAATGGGCATTTGAAAATTGTTTAAATTTTAAATACAAAACTATGGCATTTTTCAGGGATTTGGAGGAACCTGGTATCGCTACCTCTTTAGATTTATTCTTCTATTTTCATATATTATACCAATCAGGTAAGACTTTTAATTTGAATTTAGGTTTTGCTGCAGAATGTTAACTTTTAAAATTATTTTAACCATATTAATTTATTTTTTTATTATAGTAAAGTCTAGACAGACTAGAGATTACTGCCTCAATAAAATCACAATTAAAATACAGATAAACAGTTGAAATAAAACAGAAAATATATTAATAAATCAGAATGAAATTTACTAAAATATATTTATAATTAGAAATAAATAAAGTCTTCACAATTTATCCCTCCGCAACACAGGAATTTTTAGCAAATTTCTGTGTTTAAGGAGGAAGAGCCTAAAAAGAAAGAATTGACTTCTTTTTATTCATGTGGGAAATGGATGAATCATGAAGACTCTAATTTGCTTATATCATTTAACTCCAAATATATTTTAGCATATTTATCAAATTTGTAAATATTAAAATGGAGTTATTATTTGTTCAGAATTTTAGTATTCAAATAGAATAAATATGCAAGTAATCACTGCCAACTGCAGGGTTATTTTCAAAAAATAATACAACTGATACAACTGGTTTTGAAAGGAAAGTTCAATGGACAAAGAGTTAAGGACTATATTTATTGGTAATCAGAATATTATAATGTAAGATTTTTATGAATGTAATTGATAGAAATTGAATTATTGCAAAACCATGGTTGGGAAACTGTAGTTGAAAGAGTATTCCTGTATATATGTATTATCAAAATGACTGTATGAATGCAGAAACATTACTGTTCCTTCGTTACAAATTATTACTTCTGAATTGCAATTATTAATAAATAATATTTGCTCAAGATCATTTATTACAGTTATATTAATTTCAGAAAGAAAGAAATAAATAATTTAAAATGTTCTTTTCATTTTATTTTGTGTTTTATTTTGTTTCCTCCTCTTCTGTTTAATCCCCAACTAAAATAGATTATTTAGCTGAATAGTTTGGCATTGAGAAAGTTTTTGACCTAGATATTGAATATTTAGTATTCAGCCAATATTGAATACTTACTTTGTGGATGAATATATTCAAATACAAATGATGCCAAATATTTGGCCCAATGCCAATATATTCCGATATGAAACTATTTTGTTTATTCAATGTGTTAAAATAACACACTGAATAAACAAAATATATTTGAGTTATTAAATTAGAATATTTTAAATAATTAGATTACTTTTTAATGATAAATTTTTCAATTTATTGTTTTCAGTTTACGTGTGAATTTGGATATGGGCAAAGTCGTATATTCTTGGATGATTCAGAAAGATAAAGATATATCTGGAACTGTAGTTAGAAGTACTACAATTCCCGAGGAATTGGGTCGGATTGTTTATTTACTTTGTGATAAAACTGGAACATTGACAAAAAATGAAATGGTAAGTTTGTTGAAGTAAAAACTTTTAATTAATTTTATTTTAATTAACTAATTTATTTACTAAATATTTATTTTCAGGTTTTTAAACGACTTCATTTAGGCACAGTCTCTTTTAGTAATGAATCATTTGATGAGGTAAATATGTATGAAGCATTATCAATAAAAGACATACATTTAAGTATTGGTAAATATAAATCATATAATTTTAAGTTTAAAATAAAAATATTTTTATGGAGGTTCAGAGCTGATAAAATCTGGAAAATTTCCTTTCCATCACTGTTTAGTTTTCTTTGCATTGTGAATAGGTGCAGTGTCCTATTGGAATACCCAATGCCTGTTGCTAAGTGCAGCTGAGTCTACGGAAGTACAACAGCTTCTAAAATATACTGCCAGTACACATCTTGAATGACTTGGATCACTCCTTTTACAAAAAATGAGAAGCTTTTCTTGATACACAAACCCTCTCCCAAACTGTGAATGACTATGAGTTTTGGGAATGGGTGGTGACGGCATAGTTTCAGAGTCTTCAGATGGCCAAAATCTGTCATTTTGGTTGTTTTCAGCTTGCTTCACTATTGGCACCTCATCTGAGAAAAGATGCTTTCCCCATTGATGACCTGTGGCTTGCCATAACAATGCACAACTTTTCTCCAGATACATACACTCATTTGCTTCAGTTAGTAGTTGACTCTTTTGAAACTTGTAAGACTTCAGTCCAAGGTCTTCTTTTGCTATCTTCAGAATTGATTCACAGTTGATCCTCATCTCTTGTCCAGTCTTGCACATTAGTACTCTTGAACTGCACTGGACTCTTCCTAATGATACCATGATTTCTGGCAATTCTTACAGTGTATTTTTTCCTCTGCTAGAATGGCTTTCATTATGACCAATCTCTCTAAAACCTTGAATCATATCTGAAACTGTCTTATGGTGAAGTTGAACGTCACACTCTTTTTCCATCTTGAAAAAGTACACTGATTGAATCTTTGTGATTTGATGCTTTTACCATTATCAATTGAACAAAAGTCCAAAATGATATGATTGTTATGGTGGAAACTCACAACAAAGGACATGCACTATGGTACTTCTGCAGTAACTTTTGTTTGGGTAATTTATTGTCATTAGTTATATTGGTACAAAAAATAAAAAAATAATAAACTCAGTTTTATATTAATGATTTGTCAATATTAATATTACTAGAAGGCAGAGTACTTTGCTATTGGTTATTGTTTTTGATAATATAACTCAGATGTAGAATGGTTGGTTTTTCAAACTTGGTTTCATGGATACTTTCTATGGTAAAGAAATGTGAGAATATGGGTGAGGGGACAGAGCCCTCTAATCGTCAGATCTGTGAGATCTGCTCACAGTGTCACTGGATGGCTGTTTATCGAGTGGCGAGGGGGTTGAGAAAGTCGATGAATGTCCATGTGAGCAATGGTAGACAGGTTCACAGGTTAAACAAACAAAGAAGGAGTTTATTATATAACTAAAGCTAATTTACAGGAGTATACATAAGGAAGTTACTGATTAATGCTTAGATGCGGATAACACATAAATCTATCGGTAATGGCGATCTAACTAGTAACCTTGTCATGTGCCTAACCTCTAGAATGAGAGAGTTTACAAAAGTTACTGCACTCAGATACACCTTAATATGCTGTCGGATGCGATGATCATTCTGGACTATGGAAGCTGGAACAGTCTTATGTCTTCTATCTGCTTCTCCTCAGACAGGACTGGTATGGGAGACACTTGTACTCAGACCTTTCTGGGATGATCGCCCTGAACTTCCTGAGACAATTGCTTTTTATACGCTTGTCGTTGGCACAGAGCCAACAGGTTGTTCAACGTTACGATGATGACTAATTAGCAGATGCGTGATGACTTGCCTTTCTTCCTTTCTATCTTGTCAATGTGTAAGAGTCGACATCTGATCTATTTCCGTGGGAACTTGTGATAATTTTTTTCTCATCCTCTAATGTCTACACTTCCTTCAAAAAAGGTCATTAACCCCTTAAACTCAAAAATTTACACCCTCAAAACCCTTGGGCTCACAGAAATGATAAAAACTATTATTTTTGAATGAATTTTTTAACTTAAAAATTTTATGGAAATAGAAATTTAAGTTATAAATGATAAGGAATTGTTATCATACTTCTAAATTATAGTAAATGAGCTTAACTTTATGCAATTACAAAACTTGAAACTAAACTTAGATATGGGGTGAATAATTACAGTACATTGATAGTAGTTGTAAAATATCTTAAATTTAATACAGTAATTCCCCGAACTTACGTGATAGGTGGGACCGAGCGGTAACCGCATAAGTGGAATTCGCGTAAGTCAGGGTATAATTTCGCATATAAATACACACAAATAATTTTTAATTGGGGCCGGAGACTAAAGAAAACAATAATTTAGAAAAAAATGTTTAATAAAATCTTAGATAATACATATGTATAACAAATTAGGCCTATATTATTTTACAATTTTTCACATTTACTTGATTATTACGCCATAATTTTAACATTGTTTCCATCTCAGCGATAATACTGTGACGTTTACGAATGATGCTTGAATTTAAAGATTGAGCATTTTTCACAGCTTCGAGAATTTTTTCTTTGCCTTTTATAATTGTTCTGACCGACAATTCCGGTAGATCAAACTTCTTTGCCAATTCACAAATTTTCATTTTTGTATCGAAGTCTTTAATAATGGGTACGTTCGTAAAGTCAAACGAGTTAAACGCGTTAGTAACGAATCGTTGGAAAAGTCTAACGAAATAGGAATAATGATGACTTCATTCTCACTTAACTCGTTCGACTTTACGAACATACCCAATGTTAACTTTACATTCCAAAGATAAAGTTTTTCTTTTCTTGTTTGATGCAGAAGAATTAGTTCTACTTCGTTTGGATGACAGTAGAGTCTCTCGAGTCTCCGTAGATATAACAAACACAGAAATAAGTAACACAAAATAAATTGTAGCTATGTGTAGATTCCGCGCAACACATCCGAACATGTAAGCTGAACAATAGTGTGGGGGGAGTGAGTAATCAAGGGTTGCATGGCGCTCAAACAAAAGACGAATCGACGAGATTTGAAAATCGCGTAACTCCGGGTTTGTGTAAGTCGGGGTAGCATAAGTCGGTAGTATTACTGTACTTCTTTTAGTAATTAACTAGCTGTGTCTGTGGTTTCACTCATATGGAATTCAGTTTGTGACAATGTTCAGTACAAGTTAGGACAGTGCACTGTGTATCTCATTGACCATGTGACTGCACCGCGTGGTTACCTATCTCGTATATGTACGCGTCTTGCCACCCGCTGACACCAAAAATATAACGCTTACCTAGATGATATCTTTTAATTTAAATGAATGCTTAACAGAATAATATATAGCCTATGTCCACCCTGAAGGTCCATTCTAAATATTGGTGAAAGAATTTTTGAAATCGGATGATTAGTTTCAGAGATTACCTCCTTTATCTAAACTTACAAATTTTACCTCTTTATAATATTAGTATAGATTAAACACATATTACTAATATAAAACCTTGTGTGTGTGTGTGTGTGTGTGTGTGTTTGTGAGTTCCTTATAACTCCTGAAATTATTGTCCAATTCTGATTAAATTTTGGTTAAATTTATTTTATATTTTGATGGAGTCTATAGGCTACTTATTTTGCAGAAATATTAACTATAGAATAAATGTTTTATCAGTGGTTGCACTTATGTTGCAGTGACATCAATGACCACATGATGTTCATGCTTGAGGAAATTTCCTTTTAAGTTGCATTTTTAAATATTTTAATTGCATATTTTAAACTTACTTCACTTAATTTAAAATTTAAACTTTAAAAATGATAGCTGTATTGTGTCACTTCTATAACAAATTAAAAAAAAATTTTTTTTCATAGTGATCACCTGACATTCTATTATCCAATCGGAAGTAATGATGTAATGATCCCATTATTTAGAAAGTGTTTTCACTAATGTACAGTACATACAGTTCATTGTTGTTTTATCAACACGGAATTAAAAAGACTTGCAGTTTTGTTGAAAAATGCCTAGGGGAAAGCATAAAATTGGTCAGGTAAATTCTAGATCTAAAGTAGAGGGTCACAAACTATGGCTTGCGAGGTCAGTTCATCTGGCTTGCCACCACACTGTGCCACAAATGAGGTAAAATATGATTATCTACAAACTATAATATTTCCATATAAATAAACTTACACTTATTTTAATTTTTTATACTTAGTAAGTATAACTGCCAGAGGTGGTCCAATCTGATTTTTGCATCTGACAATAATATAATTTTTAGGAAAATCAGCAAAATAAAAAAATTTGGCAACTTTTTGTGACTTTGGATATCAGAGCACTTTTGTGTAAGTAGCTGCAATGAAGTTTCTAACAAAAGTGATTACAAGCTTGCTGCAGTGATCGTGTTTATGTATTGGTAAATAAATATGTTGGTTGTCTTTATTTTTTGTGTATTCATTGTGCTGTATTGAACAAAATAATTATGTAGCATGTGCTCATCATTCTCTTAGTTATCTGGCCTACTGTGAAAAAAGTTTGGTGACCCGTGATCTAAAGGAATAAGAACAACTGAGACCCCTGAAGGCTGTGAAGTCCGACTTGAGCAACATCGAGTAAGAATGGCTTTGTCAAGGGCTGCAGATACAGCATCACAATGTCAAGCTAAACTTGAAGCTCTTCTCAATTCTTCAATCTACTTTCTTAAAAAAGATTTTGTCATGCTTGATGGAAGAATTTCTAGTATATATATAGTGTGTATATGTATTACACTAAGGAGATTATTAGCTGAACTACAAGTAGATTTCTTGGCATATTTGAACAAATTAGGTATCAATAGGTAGGGGTGGATCTGTAGATGTGCAATTGCAGATGCTTTTGGTTCCACAGATATTGGGTACCAAAGTTCTGAAATTTCTCTACCATTTTGTATAGGGAATCAATAAGAAACATTTTGAAACATGTTAACTAGTAGAATTTGGCCAGAAGAACTTAGATTCTATTGGATTTACCATCTTAAATGTGATATACAAAGAAATTTTGTAATCTATCTTTATAGTTGGTGTTCTGAAGGTGAATATATTTTGTATCTACACTGAAATTTAATTTCTTACAAAAGTTACTTGTAATTTTTAATTTTAAATTAATTTTTTCTGTTCAATGCCTTATCCTGAGGGTAATACAGGTTTCTACTAGTTATTAATGATTCATTAGAATTGGTAAATTGAATTCATTCACCTTAGTTTAAATATTGTCCTTTGAGATTTACATGATATCTTTCATGATGTTGCTTTTTCTGACAAAACCATTCAGATTTAGCCAAATCCAATTATTCTCTATAATGGAGTATGTTGTAAGATAGCTGAAAGATTTTTCAAAGCTGTCAACTTTCTCTCAAGAACATTCAGTTTGCATGCATGAACAGAACCTACTTGTCATTACAAAGTCTCACTAGAATGGAACAATTATTTATGTATTTAATTTCTATAGTGTACTCTTGTTAATTAGAAGCTTAACATGATGCTTCATCTGACATGGCCTTGATTCTTTTACAATAAATGATATTTGCTGATATTGTTGGTCATTGATGCATATTATCAGAATCTTTCAGGCAATCTATAATAATTCTAGTTTTTTGTACTATCTTTACAGAGCACTGGAACAAAATTTTTATTTGTCAGTTTGTAGATTTGGCAAATAACAATTGTTTCAACATTGTAAGATTCAAGTCATGTCTATTTATTGATCCATTGTCTGTGGATGTGTACTGAACTCAGATTTCTATAGGAAGGGTCTACAAGACATGTTATTAGATTAAAAATTAAACTTGAAATAAATTGAAATAATTACATTTGAAACTTTAATTTCACAGTTCAAACATTATCAAATTTATATTGATTTTAAATATTTTTGGATTAAAATATAATAAACATAAGAAGAAAAGAGACTATGCAATATATAAATAAAGTATGTAATTTGAACATGTTTATAATAATAATTGTGATGTCTTAGGTTACCGCACATCTTAGAACTGCTTATGCACCACTTCCTTCAACTCCTGGTGGAACGGGAGTAACTCCAAGTCGTTTCACTCAGCAACCTAAAATGAGACGCACAGTAATTACAAGAGTTCAAGAAGCAGTAAAAGCATTGGCTCTGTGTCATAATGTCACCCCAGTTTACGAAAATGCATCTGTAGCTTCAGAATCAGAATCATTAGAAATAGAACAAGAATTGAAAGAGGATTTTGATACGGAAGCTGATCAACAGATAAAACAGTCATTTGTATATCAGGCATCGAGTCCAGATGAAGTGAGTATTAAATTTGTTAGCATTGTAAAGTATTTTATGAAATATTTATAATTTGAAATTTTAGGTATCATTAGTATCATGGACGGACAGTATCGGGTTAGCCCTTGTATATAGAGATTTGACGACAATGCAATTACGAACCTCGTATGGAGAAATTTTAACTTTTGCAATATTACAGATATTTCCATTTACATCTGAAACAAAAAGGATGGGAATTATTGTTAAAGTAAGTTCTGTAATGAAATACAGTAGTACCTTGGGATAAGAAATTAATCTGTTCCTGAACTGAGATCGTATCATGAAAATGTCATGAGGTGAATCATTTTTCCCCATATGATTACATGTAAAACCAAATAATTCATTTATTTGTTTTCTGCAACCGTGTTTTACTTTTTATTGAGTGTTGAACACAAAATTGTGTTATTAATTAAACACTTGGCTTTTTTTCCATCTTTATTCAGTTGATCAACTGATACAGTTGATCAACTGAATAAAGATGGAAAAAAAGCCAAGTGTTTAATTAATAACACAATTTTGTGTTCAACACTCAACCCAAATAATTCGTTCCAACACGAAAAACACACTCAAATTAAAGCTAAGTAGTACATTGAAAAACAAAACTTTAGCAAGGAAAACACTGAAAAATGCATTTTGTAGTTGTAAATTTATAAATAACCATAATAAAATAATAATTGATAAAAAAATGTAGTTTTATTTGCACTTTACCTTTGAGGATAGACGACGGTAGAGGTGTAAACTGNAATAACTTTAGCAAGGAAAACACTGAAAAATGCATTTTGTAGTTGTAAATTTATAAATAACCATAATAAAATAATAATTGATAAAAAAATGTAGTTTTATTTGCACTTTACCTTTGAGGATAGACGACGGTAGAGGTGTAAACTGGTGGTGGAGGAGAGGGAGAAGGGAAATGATACTAAAACTTAAGTTACATAACATAATGTAACAATAACTTAAAAATAACTTAACACTAATTTTTTTATCTTTTCTGTTTTATATATATTTTTTAATTTTTTATTCACTTCTTTTTACTTTCTTTCCTTCACTTCCACCAGCACTTTCACTGGATAGAGATCGCTTGGTAAAATATCTATCCAAAGAGGTTTGGCTTTGCCTACATTTTAAAATGTTTCTAAAATGACTTAGGCAAATGTCATTAAACTGAGCAGCAATACGTCCAGTGTGAACCTTTTTGGGATGTTTCTTTTCAATAAAATCAGTCACTTTCTGATAATACCTCAAGATTTCCTTTATTGAGCAAGATCCTTCCACAATGAAACAAACACATGGATTGAGACTGATAAACAGAAGGAACACATGATTATGGCGGTGGCACTGCTAACTAATGTAACTAATGTTCGAATTTCATGTCGTATCCTGAAAATTTCGTATGCTAAAGCGTTCATATCCTGAGGTATTACTATATACTTAATTTATGTATATACAATATTAAAAGTTATAAGTTAATTGTATTTTAAAAAATTTTAAATTTATAATTTTATTTAAGTGTTAAATTCAAAATGTAATACAGTATAAGATTAATATAATAATTATAATATCATGTATAATATATCTTTCCCTGATCTAGAAGTGCATGCATGAATAATAGGAAAGTTTGTTGAAGGTTTACATCTACAAGTTATTCATGTTTTGGAAAATAACTGATAAAATATAATAGAAAACCCTTTTTATTTCCAACTTGTAGAAAATAAAGTTTGAAATATGGTATGTATGACCATAATTGTAAAAACAGAAAACCTGCATTGAAAACTCAGTCTTTGAATTTTGCAATGACATTTCTTGAGGCTTTTGTGACTTCCTTACCATTTTGTAACCTCTCCTTTTGCAGAATATATCTCCAACATGACAAGGTGCTGGCACACATGTTGCAGAATTCACAGCCATTCTTCTGTTAAAATGATCATTAATTGATTTTTGTCCCTTGGCTTTCTTTTGTGAATTATTTCTTAACACATTAACTGCCACCTGTAATATGATATTTTGCATAATGACATGCCAAAATGAGAAAATTTGATATCTAATATTTTATTATAATGTAAATAAAAGGGTTGTTATATAACAGTCAGCAGAGTGAAGATAAGAAAGATATATTAACGGCAGACGGGCAGTTGTATGGTCTTGAACGGGAGACTATTTCCCCCTGGCTATTTATTTTACAACCCGCTGTAATTAGACCTGCCCCCTACGTAAAAGTTTTCACATTTATGTGTTAAAACTATTTAAGTGTTTACAATTTGTTTGGACTGCACATGTACTTTTCTGTAAATATATATTATTTCACACTTATATTCTTTGATTTTTTTTTTGTAATATTATTTACTTTATATGTGATAAAAAAAAATAATTAAACTAGTTTTTGATATTTTAAACTATTTACTAATAAAAAAATCACTATCAGATATAAAATAGATTTTTATTTTAAAAAAATTACGACCTTCGGCCGTTGAATCACTTCATGAGGCCATACGACGTGCTGGCGGTCATAGTTAGGGCCATACAGCGCCATATGATGCGCTGGCGGTCGTAGATAAGGGACGCTCAGGCCATCCAACCGCCAGCATTCAAAACCAATTGCATAGATGTCCATGACAGGCCACCACTAGCATGCAGAACAACATCTTACGATGCCAGGAAAATTTAACCTTGAGTGAAACTTTTCAATGTTTTGTTGTCATAGCAACGAACCTCTTGTGTTTTGACTATTATGGAAGTAACGAAATTTTAATAATTTCGAATTTTTAGCTAGGGTAATTACATATTTTTGGAATTGTCTTGTTGAGTTGTATTTTCTTGTTTGTTGATATGGATACGGATTATATTAAAAATTTTCTTGATGGAGCATCCTGTATAGTGGATGAGGTAAAGGCCTACACCTTGGAAAATTCAAAAGGCAGATTTGGTACTCCATCACATACACAATATATTATGGATCAATTGATGAGAGTCATTAAGATGGCGGAAACCTCATTACGGTGTTATGTACTTCCAGAGAAAATAGAACAAAGGCTGGCCACACTGGCAAGTAAAGAGGACATACACAAAATTTCCAGCTCAGATAACCACAAGAGTCTAATCTCTACACAAAAGGAAGTCTTAAATAAACTTCATGAATACTATGATACGCTTCTTGTCTAGTCTTCTCAATGGTTAGTGAGTGCTAAGATTGGCTTTACTTTACTTCTAGACTTATTACACCACCACAGGACATCAAATTAGATTTGGAAAAAGACTATTTTATTTTCAGAATGCATTTCGGACATAGAGTCCCTCATCAGCTATTTGCTACAAAATTAATAGGAGGTTAACAATTTTATAAAAAGGCCGTGATTGACATAAATGAACAAAAATGTGGACTTACATTTGACATGTGGATTCGACGCGTTGAACATTAATTAAAAGATTAAGCATACGATATACAAGATTTCTCGTTAAAAACGGTAATGTTGGTGCAATAATGTAATAATAAACAGAGGTTCTGGTAAAACAGTAAAGTTATAAAAATATACATTGTTAACAAAATGATAAGTAAATTCACAGTAACATGAACAGAGTAACAAGACGATTCGAAGTACATTCCAGGGTGACTGTCACTCTCACCCCTATCCGTTTCCACACCTCTCCCCTCCCCCATGCCTCCTCTGGTCAAATATGCGTACCACGATTCATGTAATTTTTGGCCAGAGTTGTTGTTCATGATTTTCCTGTGGTGGTGTAATAAGTCTAGAAGTAAAGTAAAGCCAATCTTAGCGCTCACTAACCACCAAACTTCATGAAATTGAAAACAACACAATTAAGTATCCCTCTCCTGCTCCTCTTTACAGTTCTGCAGTTAAATCTGGAAGAGGCATAGCCAGCACCTATTCTAAACACAAATCAATTACCTCAACAGAGGTTATTTCTTAGCCTTTCTTGTATGTTGCTAATTTTTGCATTCTCCAATGCTAAAAGTTTGGGGTCCTGCTGAAATAACGTGTTTTCAATGCCCACTAGTTGTACCAATTTAGAATAAACCGATTTCCTAGTCATCCTTACTGCCCTGTTCACGGATGCAGCATGGATAATTGCCTCCACACCACATATTCACTTACTAAAAATGGCTAGAAGAGATGGAAATTTTTAGGGCGTATGACAAATCCGAGTGTATTAATTCAAGAGAAGAGATCAGCCTTTCCTTGGCGTGGCAAAATCTACTCCATAAAGAGTGATAACGAAATTATATTAAGTCTTAAAAATAAATGATATTAGGGAACACGAGAATATTAAATAATCTTTATATCTCATCAACAGAGGTTTTATTAGTTTACAGTAAAGATAAAGATAAAATTGGAAATCACAGTGACAATGTCCGAAAATTTATGCAAACAAAATTAAAGCCATCTAATATGTGCATTGGAATAGAAAAAATCAGGAAAATTGGAGGTGGAGGTCTTGCTGTGGAACTGAGCACCTGCAGAGATGATAATATATTGGAAAAAACTATAGAACAGCAACTGCCTGAACTAACCACACACAGACCAAAAAAGAGATGGCTGCACATCATTATCTACTCTGTACATAATGATATCACTAAAGAAGACCTTCTCACACTAATATACCAACAAAACAATTTAATAAATGCGAAGTTTCCAGCAGAAGAATTTACAAAACAATTTCGAAGTAAATTTACATTAGGGAGAAAGACTAATACTTTTAACTAATACTTTAAGAACTGGGTTATCAAAGTTGCTAACATAAGGAATCTGTTGCTAGAGATGGGGAAAGTCAACTTAGAATGGTCACGATGTAGAATTGCAGATTTCTGCCCAATTTTACAATGTTATAAATGTTCCAGATATAATTATTCTGCGAGGTACTGCCTGCAAACCATTTATACTTGCAGTCACTGTAGAGGAAATCATCCTTATAAGGAATGTCCTAACTGCGAAAAACAAAAATTATAACGGACCTAAGTACTGAAGATTCTAACCCACCTACTCTTATCCAAACGTTAACAGCCCAACTGGATGCCTTCTGTCCTGATGACGATCCAGAGGGTGACACAGACTGGCAACGTTCTATTCGTGCTGAATTTAGCATTTTAGATGATACAATAGACATTCCACAATTCAAGTACGAGGAAATTCAACAGGCCTTCTGTTATCTCAAAAAAGGCAAAGCTCCAGGCCCTGACGAAATTACTAATGA